GATGAAATTTTGGAAGCGGACTATGTATCTATTTTAGCTGATGAAACTACAGATGTAGCTTCACAGTCGCAGCTGGTTTTTGTCGTTAGATATGAATTGAAAGGTAAAATATTTGAAAGATTTTTAGGATTCATTAATCCAACAGATCACACAGCTGATTGTATTTCTAGTATTATTTTAAATGAGCTCGAAAAACTTGAAATCAATCAAAATCCAAAGAAACTCATATCTCAGTCTTATGATGGTGCTTCGGTTATGAGTGGAAGACAAAATGGGGTACAAGCAAAAATCAAGGAACATTACCCTAAAGCTCAGTTTATTCACTGCTATGCTCACCAGTTGAATTTAATTATAGAAAAGGCGGCATCAGCACACAGCCAAGTAAGAATTTTTTTTTCAAATTTAGAATCATTTTCCTCGTTTTTTTCAAGATCTCCTAAACGTATAAAAATACTTGATAATATCGTTTCTAAAAGATTACCAATGTGACGAGCCGTCACTAAATTCGTTCACGAGAAAATTGTAACTAAAAAGACTAATAACAAACCCTCAAAACATAACTAGAAAATTTGCAAATCTTAATTAATTAACACGCATGTTCTAATCGGCATATAGTACCAGTCAAATAGATAAACAAAATCAACTATCAATCCCCAAATGCAGAAACAAAATTCGCGTATTCGCAAATTGCGAATAACATTACGCTTGCCAGACATTGCAAATAACGTGTACAAAATGATACGCCAGAAACATCGCCAATCGCAATTACTTTCATATAAAATTGTATCCAAACTAAAACAGCTGCAAACGAAACCCAGACACATAAACAACCTCAGAAAAAACGCCCTTTTTAAAAATAGCTACAACAAGCTAACCACATGTAGCGATGACGACATGGAAAGCACGACGCAAGTTGAAAAAACCCGAAAATATACGACACACTAACCAATAAAAAACGTCAGTCGCGGAACCATAATTAAAAGCTAAACCCTATAACACAACGAAATAAAACCTAAAATCCCGTACCGAGTAATACACTAATCATGAAGAAATATAGTCCACTAAAGTCACGAGAGACAAGAATAATGAGTAAAAATCCCTATATAAGCAGTAGCGCCGAAAACGGTTTAATTCAGTTAGAGTAGAAGTTTCCAGTTGCCGCCGAAGGCTCTGTCCAAACCGGTGTCGAGATTTTTTATTAATTTTTGCTGAATTTTGAAGAATTCCGAACTTAGAAGAATTTGCTGAGCTCGAGAGGAAGATAGAAAAATTCTCAATGCTGCAGCTGTGTAAGTCTACCTTTTAGTCATTCTTAGTTTATCTTGCTTTCCGTTTTTTCGTCATGTGTTCTCGAGTTCGAATCGTACATGTGTAGCGTTTAATTTATGCGTTTTCTCCGTTACGTTGGGTGTGAACAGTTAGCACCGGCACCGAAAGTAATCTTTAGTGCTTCCACATGTTCCCGTTTGCAGGTGGCACGTTTAGCCTTGCGTCGGTTCTTGATTATTGGGGAGGATTTTTTGATAAATTACCGTTCGCTTTTATAATAATTATTCCAAAATTTCTGTAAATTGTCGATTTAACTCTTTTGCTTGCGACATAAATATTTTATATGCGTTTTTGGAGAGGATTTTTCTGATTTTTACCATTTGCTTTTATAATAATTATTCCAAAATTTCTGTAAATTGTCGATTTAACTCTTTTGCTTGCGACATAAATATTTTATATGCGTTTTTGGAGAGGATTTTTCTGATTTTTACCATTTGCTTTTATAATAATTATTCCAATATCTCTGTAAATTTGACCGATTTAACTCTTTGCTTGCGACATGAATATTTTATGTGCGTTTTTGGGAAGTTCCCGAATTGAAACCTTTTAATCTAATTTTCTTGCTGTCGATTATTTTATATTGAATTTTTGCCGTTTAAATATGACTCCGTTCTCTGATTATTTTGCTATAGTATATGTTATATTGCTATATTTCTCACATTATACTTTATTTTAATCGTCTCATTGTATTTTAGCGCATTTATGATACTAACGTCCCAATGTTTAACTGCATGTATAAATTATGACTGTTTGTTTTTACATGTATCTACCTGTCCTGTAACCATCAATTTTTCTTGTGAACGATTGTTGTGCTCGGCATATTTAGCTAATCGATGTATGTGAAAACTTATTTATCTCTCTTTTTACATGTTTATATTCATAAGTTGTCGTAGATTTAAGTGCATGATTTTTACCCGTTATTTTAGTTGTTCTCATGACTTAATTAATATATATAAATGCCCGATCGCAATTTATTTAAATAATTAAGTAATTATTCGATTTCGTAGTTAGTAGTTTTTTGTTTTATGTTTTGCATGCTGATTTTTCTAGGATTAAGTTTATTAACTAAAAATGTGGGTTATGTTCATAGATTTTAAGAGTTTTATTTTATTAGTGGAATATAATTGCGTAGCGCTTTAGAAGAATGTTTTGCATGTTGTTTTGTTTTTTTCGTGTTATGTGTGTGAATTTATTTTATGTTTTATTTTTCTGTTGATTATTTACACATTTACTCGATTATTCTTTTGACATGCTTATTATGCTTTCTTTTAATATACGTATAAAAATGTTATATATGTTTAATTATTACCTCTTCCCCTACATGCAGTTTAGCTCTTCCATTTCCAAGGAAATGGGCCTACACCCAAATAAATAATTTTGTTAGTGTCCAAAAGCTCGGCCGCGGTCAAAACTATTTGGGCACGACAAAATGGCGCAGTCGGTAGGATTTCATTATTCGCTAAATTGCAAAAGAAGGGAAGTTGTAATAATAAATTAACAAAAAAAAAAAATTTTTGAAAAATCGTAAAAATCGCATAAAAATCATAAAAATCAGAAAAATCCAAAGTAAGACACCCTAGAAAATACGGTAGAATTAAGGTAGCTTTAACTCTTGCGAAATGACGGCTAAGAAAAATAAATTCAGTGGTAATTTCACCGTGATAACTGTCGTGGCCATCTTGTCGAACCTCCGTGTCGTGTCAGCGCGCTTATTTCAGCGTAAGCTCGTTCGTCGCGCGACTAATTTTCAACAGAATTTCGCCGAACTCATCTCGGACTATTGCGCTGAATATTTTGGTTTAAATCACATTAAACGGACCATTTTCGTAAGAATAAATTAAAATAAAGTTGTAAACAGGTGTTGAACGAGACAGAAAAGCAAATTGTCGAGATTTTCTATCAGTCACAGAAATTCCATTTTAAGTTTAGAAAATTACAAGTCCGTACCTTTGGGAATAATTTTTGTAAAAGCGCGGCATTTTTATGTTTTAATTTTATGGAGGGTCGGAGTTTGTACAATATTTTAATCAAAAAACCAGTTTATTTATGCCAAATTAAAATTACGGTTAATATTTCCAGAAAAGTGAGTTCATAAAAAGTAATCGTTTATCTAGTGCAAGCAGAGTAAAACGCAAATTGAGAATAAAAAAGTAAAAAAACCAGTTCATACCTACCAAAATTTTTTAAAATACGTTGCTTATATTAACTCTTAGAAACATTTTTATGTCACTCTCTTCGTCAAAATTTCTTATTTTTATTATAATCAAAATTTTTCATGAAAAAAGTTTTATCACTTCAACATTTCGAGCTCTAACGAGCTAATTTCGTAACGACCTTTTGAATTCGCAACCAATTACGAGCAAACTACCAATAAAAATGCAGAGACACATTTTCCAAATTTTATTATGTAAACAGAACATACCCTACTGGTTGGAAATATAAATTAACAAACGCCCCCCATAACCAATCACACCCACGCGACAATTCAACTCGGGACAGAAAACAATCGACGTGCAGATCGGAGGGATTCCCAGAAATTGTCCGGAAATCACTTCAAATCGCGGCGGATATAGCACTGTAACAGGTGGCGGTGGACCAAATGTCGCTTGAAAATTCGGCAAGGGCATCGCTGGCGCCGTGACCACTGGTCTCGCTATTGGGGCTTGCTGACCATCGGCTACCACCGGTTGTTCAGCAGGGGGTCGCGATGTCGAGGGCCCGCTGGTCGTCGAATCTGCGTGATCGTTCACCATCGCAGCAGCGCGAAGTTGCGCCGCCAATTGGTAAAACGGTTCGCTATCGCCAAAAACGTCAAGTTCTTCGTCCGAACCTAGCGCGGAAAATCCGTTAAAACATCGTCGCGGCTCACCTAGAAATAAAATTTACTCATAACAATAAAATTTCGGAATACAAACAGACGGACACATAATCGCCAAAGAATAATTTTAATATCAAATAAAGTCACTAATTTTACTTACCCATTGAAAATTTTGCTATCAATCTTTTACTTGAAAATTACGGGCCGCGTTCACTCTAGCATGAACAAATGAACTATGAACAGATACTAACGTCTTTACGAATTATCCAAAAATTTTATTATCACCGAAAAGTGTTCTCTCGCTTCAATAAACGCCTAATTGGTAGAAGGGTTAACCGACGCTAAACCCTATTGGTTCAAGAAATACCAGATACCCCACGTAGAGTTTAATTTTAGTGGTAAAAAACTTGTCAATTGCGCGTATAAATCAAAATTATTCTTAAATAGAAACCTTGAGTTTGAGTATGTAAAAATTGTTTCGATTATCGGGAGACAACGTGTCGTCATATGCACAAAGAATCGCAACATAATTATCACAAAGAGTGTCATCATAACAGATGTTAACACCCAGAAATTTCACTTCAATTTAACACGCGTCACAAGCTAGCACTCAGAAGTTACCCCACTGCACCTGTACGAAAACTCGCAAGGTGCAGATTCGCAATGCGATCCCTCACATTAAGAGGTCGTATCCAACAAAAGATTTTGTAAGCACCATACCTTTTACAGAAAAATTGTACGTTTCCAAATCACAAAAAAAAAAAGAAGAGTGAACAAAGACACAAAAGTAAAATTAAAGCAGAAATTTTATTTTTTTTCTCAAAATAACAAAAATATATATATATATGACTACTCAAGGGCCCTTTTCCGCGTCCCGTTGGCCAGTCACAGGGGCCGATGGTTGGGTCGCCTCTGAAACAAAAAGAAAAATAATCAGTTAGCAAGGTTATTAAGAAATCAATTAAGTTACAGAACTAAGAGAACAAAGCACAACAAACTTCAAAATTTTCAGAACGTAATTTACACTTACATTATTGCTTAAAACTTCCACATAAGGTGCAAATGTTTGATCACACAAAAATTTACAAAAAACAAAAATTTTTATCCAACAATTCATAAATATTATTTCTAAAATGACGGTACAGAATTTTGTTCGAAATAGTTTATTTTAATCACTCTTTAAAGTAAAAAGAACGATTGACGTGAGCTTTACGGAAATTGCATAATTAAACTCAAATATTAACAGAAAGAACTACCAACCATGACTTGAACAAATTAGTGTCAAAAGCCGAAAAGTATTTAACAAAAACCGCACTCACAAAAAAAAAAAAGAGAGGATACTTACGAGATGCTGCTGAGCGCCGGTGACCACCGCGGGCGCGGCGCCCCCTTGCAAAATGGAGACGCCGCGCCTCCCGATAAAGCTCTTGAATGCGTTCGGGCGTAAAGGTGCCCTGCTCCTCCCCATCTTCTTCGGAGGAGGAAGCCCCGAAAAAGACCCCTATCTCTACCTCATCGAAACCTATAATCATAATGCAAAAACACCATTAATCATCGCTAACAACCTTAAAGAAATAAAAATGAAAATTACAAGAATTTATAAAGAGAAAATTATAAAAAAAGAAAATATACAAACAAAAAGTTACAAACCGTCTTCGCGAAGCAGCCGCAACCGCTCCTCCTCCTCGTACCCGGCTGGTGGATTTATGAGGCGTTTTTCCGAAGCTGAAACAATAAATTCATTATTTTATGGAACCAGTAATCATATAAAACGAAATAAAAAGAAAAATGATGACAAAAATAATAGACAACTAAGCAATGCAATAATAGACCAAGATGTTCATACTTACACATTCTAGCTAAAAGTCACACAGTAAAATGAATCGAAAATCCGCAGAAAAGCTCTCCACTAGAAAATTAAAACACTGCTCCACCCAAACCACTTGAAAAAGTTGACCGCAAACCTAAGACCCCATGTGTATAGATAAAGTATCTTAAGCCTAAAATTGCGTAAATTATAGAAAAAGATGCATTTCTTGCAGCAACCAATCCGGAACGATATCGTTATCACCAAAAGACCATATGTGAAACCCTTACACGAAACTAACAAGAAACCGTAAAAGAACAGCCAATACTCAAATATCTTAAAAGTTAACAGATTTAATTACTTAATATTTCAGTAATTCTCTTAGCAATCAAATAACCAACCTTTGCAGGAAACTGATAAATAACATTAATAACATTCAAAATTTCAATTTCAGTCTTGACTTAATCAATGAATAAAAATTTTTTAAATCCGAGAAATTACAGTAAAAATTTTTTGTTGTCTCTTTCGTATTACTGTTACATCAGAACATCCACTAAAACATTAAAGAGGGGTCCTTTTCTAATAAACGCAAAAACTCCGTCGCCGGTCATCACTCATCATACCGCGAGAAAGCTCCGAGTGACCGTCCGCATTCGATTCAATAATAATAATTCGCTTCTGAATATACGACATGCATACGCACAAGAACAGAATACTAGCAAACAATTCGGGAATGAAACGACTAAACTGAGGAAATCAAATTATAACTAAAATATTGCGGAAATACAAAGAAAGAATTATTGTACGACGATAGAAAAAGCTCATACTCAGCACCTGTTCACAAAAAAAAAAAAAAACGGAGAATAATAACAACTCGCAAACGCAATGGTAAATTACTATGTTACGGCAGTTTTAAGTTAAATAAGTCTAGTTAGTATAATAGGAATAAGAAATAGAAATAGAAAAGAATAGTTAATTAAGTTAAGCGCTACGTAATTTCAAAAATCATTAAGCGGGACAAATCAAAATAAGAATTAATCGGGTTTGTTTACGTTCAAGAGAAAAATTTTAAGTATAGCGATAACTCGCGCCACCTAGTAAGGGGTAGCGCACTTATGGTAAGGGTTAAAGGCGTTCATGCGCGCAGAGAAGACCTCTGCACATACATAAAGAATTCGTCGGTAAAACTGAAAATGCTATGGTATTGAAATCATAGTTTTGTTTTAATTATTATTAAAGTTTTAATGATTATGAAAAAGCATGCCAAACTTAACAGCGGATAAGAGAACAACGAATACAACGGCTTTCCATTATAGGTATCAACAGACGATAAGCTAGCCACTCACTAAGGTGAGTAAATTACAAACATAGGGCGGAAAAGGAAAAGTCGATCAAAAAGAACAAGCACCGCGAGCTCCTCTAGATCTAACTCACCAATCATGGCGGTGACCTTGCAATTAACCGCGGACATGATCCCGGACTTCACGGGAGGAGAATCCGTACGTACGTTTATCAGTCATATCAACGACGTAAAATCAATTGGCAATTGGACCGATGAATATACAATACAAGTGGCAAAGATTAAAATAAAAGGGAATGCGAGAAAATTTCTTGAACATAACGACGAATTGAGAGCCGCCGCAACATGGAGAACTTTTTGCGACGAATTAATCAAACGTTATGAAACGCCTTTGCTACCTGTCGAAGCACTACATCAATTCAGGAAATGCAAACAAAGAGCAGGAGAAGGTGTTAAAGAATACGGAGAGCGCTTGCAAATGCTCGCGCTTGCTCGTGTCAAACCAAGCGGTGATGCCAACAGAGATCGCATTAAAAAGGAAACCATCCGCGAAGAATGCTTGCAACACTTTATGGAAGGATTAAATGACCCCATTAGACAAAGAGTGATGTCAGCTGATCCACCAACTTTCGACGACGCCGTGACTTTGGCACTTAAGGAAGAACAAGTTGAACGACATGTCAGTCGAAAAGTCTTTCAACGAGTGATTGAAATTGAGGAAGTCGCGTCCGATCAAGAGGACGAAGAAAATTTTGCGAAGAAGAAAGAAAAGGCAACAAGAAAAGATGAAAACTACACAGGCACCAAACCAAAGAACCCTATTAACAATAAAGCAGTAGAACAATCATTCCGAAACAATAACAATTTTCGATACAGTTCACAACAACGATATCAACCAAGTAATAACAATTTTGCAAAACAACCCAATACGCAGTACTTCGTAAACTCACAAAACCAACCACGCAGCAACCAACAATACAGCAACAGGGCGAATTACAACACCAACATTGAACCTGTATGCTATAATTGCAGGCGAACCGGACATCTTGCAAGACAGTGCAGATTCAACTCTCGCTATTTGAATGACAATAGTGCGCAACAACCCAGCAATTTCTTCACACCTCATAACAATCATCAGCAAATGTTTTACCAGCCAATAAACCGCGGAATGCGAGCTCCGCTTAATCAACAGACCCAGTTTTATAATCGGGGTTACGTACACAACCAACAATACCACCCCTTCCGTGTAGAACAAAATACGTTCCCTGGCAACACCACATCGCAACCTTTAAACTACAACCGGACCGAACAAGCGGGGAAAGTTTCGGTCCCGTCACCGCAACAAGCTCACCGTCCAGCGACAGCGAGACGCAATTAACTTGTTGTTCCCCACACCCCCAAGTATGCTACATCCGATTCAACATTCGCCACCAAAACACCTTCGTAATAATGATCAACAATATTCACCCACTAACAGCCATCGTCGATACCGGAGCCGACGTCTGTTTAAGCAAAAGAAAAGTCGTCAACCTTCTAGAGAAACCCGTCATACTGCCCACCAGTCTAATTATGAACGACGTACAAGGACAGGCTATACCATACGATGGACTCATACACCTATCGTTGCAGCTAGATGACTTCACCATAGTAGAACATGACTTCATCGTTGTACCAGATGAGATTGCGTACAGAGGCGATCTCTTAATAGGATTAGATTTTCTCGGCAAATTTGAGGTACAAATATGCTGGGCTTCGAAACTAATCAACATCGCAGGATGCAAAATACCATTAATTACCGAAGGAAAAGCACAGTCAATTCGACCCATCACCATGAAGGATAATATCAATGAACAGCAAAATTGTTTCGACTATCACAACATAGAAGCAGAAGAAAATCTTATTGGAGAAAATTATTTCTTTGAGGATACCGTAGTAAAAGAGACCTTTGAAGAAGATGTCATGACATCGTGTTGGATTGATGATGAATCACCCCAACAAAGCGCGCATAAATTAAGAAGAATGAATGAGTATGAAAGACCGCAGAGAATGAGAGAACTAAGAGAAGATTTAAAGTTAAAGAGAGAAAATACCGTAATAGCAGCTCCATACGTAAATGCGAATCCGTTAGATTTAGAAGAAGAGTTTAATCGAGAAGATTCATTCGAATTACGCAATATCGGCATGGCAACCCCATACGATGCTGAAATCATATTCGAATTAAGCAATAGTCGCATGGCAACCCCATTCGAAGCTGGAATCGTATTAGACTCAAAGAATATCGTTGCGGCAATCCCGTACGAAGATGTAGATTTATTAGGATTAGAAAAAGGATTCGAGTTGGAGTATTCGAGTAGAGTAATAGGGGCTAACGTAGTGGCGACCCCGAGTGAAGTAATTGAGGCTAACGTAGTGGCGACCTCAAGTAGAGAAATAGGGGCTAACGTAGTGGCGACCCCGAGTGAAGTAATTGAGGCTAACGTAGTGGCGACCTCAAGTAGAGAAATAGGGGCTAACGTAGTGGCGACCCCGAGTGAAGTAATAGAGGCTAACGTAGTGGCGACCTCGAGTAGAGTAATAGGGGCTAACGTAGTGGCGACCCCGAGTGAAGTAATTGAGGCTAACGTAGTGGCGACCTCAAGTAGAGAAATAGGGGCTAACGTAGTGGCGACCCCGAGTGAAGAAATAGAGGCTAACGTAGTGGCAACCTCAAGTAGAGTAATAGGGGCTAACGTAGTGGCGACCCCGAGTAGAGAAATAGAGGCTAACGTAGTGGCGACCTCGAGTAAAGAAATAGGGGCTAACGTAGTGGCGACCCCGAGTATTGAGATTGGGGCTAACGTAGTGGCGTCCCCAAGTACAGGAGCTCCTGAAAAGTTTTATGAAAGAGATAAGAATGACTGGAGACAGATAGAAGAAAAAGTACCCCGTAGTATTAGGATAGGATTAATTACCAAAGGTATCGAAGACTACGAAGAAATAAAAGAATTATGTGAAGTTCCAGTAAACGCTCCGGAGCACCAACAACATCAACAAGAACATACATTTCGAGATAAGGAAGATCTTACTAAATCAGATGAAATCAACAACCAAGATGCAACATCGGCAAACTTTGTAACACTTCTCGACGACATAAAGATACCACCAAGAAGCCAAGCCGTTTGCCAAGGCGCACTCTCGAAAAGGGCCCTTTCGCAGTGCATCGTTATCGAACCCTTGGACGAGAAGTTCTACGACGTTTTAACAACGCGCGTGATGTGCATAAATGAAGCAATTATCCCGGTGCGTATGGCAAATATGACTGAAAGACCAATCACATTAGAAAAAGGAACAATAATAGGAAAATGTTGTGAAACAATTAATGCAGATGAGGAAATAAAGAAAGAGAATTGCACTGTGAGGAAAATAACAATCAAAGAAACTAAGGAAGAATTACAAAAACTTTTAACAACTCTCACGTATCCTGAAGAGAATGAAGAAGAGAAACAGATGTTTGAAAATTTAATTGCGGAATTCACCGATATCTTTCGCAATCCAGATCAACGACTAACATGTACTAGTAAAGTTAACCATCGAATCATCACCGAAAACGTTCCGCCGATTTCCAGAAGACCATACAAAGTCCCATTCCATCGAAAGGACATACTTAACAAAGAAATACAAACCCTCATTGACAACGATATTATACAAGAAAGTCAATCTCCATGGTCAGCACCAGCTATACTGATCGAAAAGAAGAGACATCCAGGAGAAGATCCAGAATTTCGATTATGTATCGACTATCGAGAACTCAATAAGATCACGAAACCAGATTTCTTTCCACTACCAATACTACAAGACACACTAGATCAACTACAAGGAGCAAGTTTATTTTCTATTATGGATATGGCCAGTGGCTACTTCCAAATTGAAATACAACCAGAAGATAGAGAAATAACCGGTTTTAGCACACCATATGGTCATTACGAATTTAAACGAATGGCCATGGGTTTAAGAAACGCACCTAGTACATGGCAAAGATTGATGTACAACGTATTCAACGGCCTAGTAGGAACAGAATGCTTAGTATATCTCGATGACGTCATAGTCTTCAGCAGTAACAACAT